TTTTTCCACAAACAGTTAGTCACTTAACTATAAGTGATAGAAGATCTCCCGTTCAACAAAGTAAGCACGAGGGTAATTTACTCCTCATCCGGTAAGGAGCCCAAAAGAATAATAGCCTTGTACTCATCCATGATCTTCTCATCCACGTTCGTCAAGTTCGACAACAACTTTGTGTAGTTGTTCACATGAGTCGCAAGCGAGGTTCCTCTGGACATCTGAAATCTGAATAATCTTCGCAGCAAGTGTAAACGGTTCTCAACACTCTTCGTAAGGTACTTATTGTTGAGAATTTTCTATATCTTCATTGCAGACGTCACCCCAATCACATCATATTCCAGCTCTTGTTCCAAATAAGACCTGATCACCCCACAAGCATTCCTATTCATCTTTTCCCATATTGCCTCTTCATATTTAGATGGCTTCTCATCGACCATGATGGTCTCCTCCAAATTTTAAGCATTGAGCGTATCATGTACGTCGCTCATCCACAAACCAAAATTGATTTTGCCGTCATATTTCACCACACTAATCTTAGTGTTCTGAAAACCAACTTGAATTATACCCGTCATCTTGCTGCTTTCACCAACTTCTTCACCCATAATCACAAACTCCAAATTGTAAAGAAAGATTCAAACTTTATAGAATTTAGAAGTTACCCAAATAAACCCTAGATTAGATTCCAAATAGAACTCATAACCACACGAGGAAAGCGAGTTCTTCAACGGCAACTTCAAACCCTAACTCCACCGAAGCCTATAACTCTAAAAACCAAGCTTCCAACTGAATCTTCCTCCACCTAATACAAAACCCTAGATCTGAAATCTGAGCTCTGATACCACTTGTCGCATGCCTATGCGGAAGCGTGCACGCGCACACACAACGAGTCTGTGATCACGGGGAGAAGATGAACCACACACAAGCACAATCCAATCCAAATACGACAAATCCAACCAAACACAGAGATATATGTGGTTCGACAATTTGCCTTCGTCCATGCGGAGAGGATGTGAAGATTCCACTAAATCAAGGAGAGTACAAAAGGGTTACAATCACACAAAATCACTCTAACCCTCAACCAAAGCTCTCAACTTGCTCACAATATCTCCCTCTCATAATGCTCAACAGCCTCTTTGAATCTCTCAAATCTCTGTTGTTTTACCCTAGAAAACCGTGTCCCTATTTATATCCAAACAAAAATCCAAACAGAATCTAAACAGGAAACCAAACTGTGCAAAAATCTGTCATAAGTCGACTTAACAGGTGCCATAAGTCGACTTGGCAGAGAGAAAAACAGCAACTGGAGAACAGTTTGTAAGTCGACTTAACAGGCTTCACAAGTCGACTTGACAGAGCGAAAAATTATAACTCCAGAGCAGAACGTAAGTCGACTCGTGCACTGACACAAGTCGACTTACCATAAGTCGACTTATGCCTGTGCATGAGTCGACTTATGACAGAAAAACTAGTTTTTTTTTTGTTTTCTCCACAGAGGAGACCGGACAAGGAGGTTGGAGAGAGTGTGTGTGCGTTTGTGCAGCTGAAGGAAGGTTTGAGGCAGACACAGGAGATAATGGAGTTTTCTAGGGAGAGGTTATAGGAGGAGCTGGTGCTTAGGAGCTTGGTGTTTGATGAAATGCGGTTGACTTCAATGGGAAAGACTAAGAAAGTTGTGTTGAGGGGGAAAGCCTTTGTCATGGGAAGTCTACTGGTAAGAAATTTGGGAAGAAGAAGGTTGAATGAAGTGAGTTGTTGATTAGCGCAATGTGAAACTGATAAACATTGGAATCCACCAAAATGTGCTTTTTGAATGCATGAAGAACGATATCCAAATCCATGAAATAACTTCGAATTCACAAAGTAATATAAAAAAGAATTTTATTAATAAAAGTGATCTATTACAATGAGGTTTACACTCCTTTTATTTTAAATAAAAAAAACAAAACCTACTGCTAATACAGACATAATTCCTAAATGAAAGAAATAATTTAAAACTATTTAGAGGGATCTACATAATAAAGGAAACAAATCAGTCCAAACTGAATCAAAATTGATTTTCTTTCCTAATCTAAATTGACTCTAACTTTATTACTAAAAATAAACTGAAAGGTGATTATTTTCGGATTTTAATCAAAACTTGGTACTGCTGATAGGATTTTGGAATTTGCCAAGTTGATTGACTCTGTCTCATTGAGATAAGTGATTTTTATATATAATATGTTAGAATCTGCCTTCTGAGCTAGGATATCTGATCGTTTCTTTGTGTGTAAGTTATTAATAATGCGTGCGTACCCACATTTAGTTCGTGATAGTCCCCCTCCTCCATGAATTTATTCATTAAGCTTCCTACATCAGTCTTCCTTTGTTAAAAGAATCTCAGCCCCGAGCTTATATTTTCTTAAATAGTAGCTTTCTCGATAAACAATCTTATTATTCTTCTGCATCAATCAACATCTGCCTTGTAATTAGCATTAATTTTCTCCATCTGTTCTTTTACCTCTTGCGCTATGGCTTCTTCTGAATCAAATGTTTGAATGAATCTTTTCCACAAAATGTGCATGTGACTGGCAGTATATGGCTCAGTAGTTGACATGAAAAACTCCTCCAAATACTTTTCTTGTTGCTTCTTGTATTCTAGTGCTAGAAGTATCATCTCAGCATTGCTAAAGTCATTGACAATTGTTGCTTCTAAAGAATTTTCCACATATTGCATTCCCAATTTTTTCATCTCCTTCGCTTTGGGCCACTAAGCAAGTTAAACATGTCATCAATCACCTTGCTCGCTATTATATTCTTCTCCTCCATCGAGCATCAGGTCAACATCAACATGTGTAATATCACTCACAATTTCTTTTGGAATATCCTCTGGAGGAATACTGATGGTGACAAAATCTTTCTTTTCGGTTGAGAATGTCTCATTGCCCGGCACTAGAAAGGCCTTCTCCTTAGTACCTTCTCATTAGTAATCTCTGTCTTAGATGCCTCAGGATCTATGATTAACATACTTGATGAAATTTTCTTTGTTGCTTCTTTGGTGCTCTTTACAAATCCAGATTCTTGGTAAGAGATGAATTGAGGTTTTTTTTAGTAAGAGATGAATTGAGTTTTTTTTTAGTTTTGCCACATCATAACTAGTGTGAGAATTCTCCGAAAACGTCCATGACGAATGTCCTTTGTTTATTCTGCTCAAGCTCTCGCTCCACCTTCTTCGATAGACAGATCGTGTCAGCTAAGGTAAAAGAATCTTACAGAGGCACCTAATATTATTTATAGTTGTAAGGTAGGAAACAGACTCTCAACAAGTTCTTCATTTTTGCCCATGTTTGAGCTGGATCTCTTCCTTGATGATATCGATTCATCAATAATTCATCCTTCCATACATATGCTTTTCCCTTAAGTCTATAGGCCACTAACTTAACTTCCCAATCTTCTGGGATCATGTCGTACTCGAAATATCCATCCACCTCATCAATCCAGTAAAAAAAATCCTCAGCATGAAGTCTTCTATTGAAGGATGATATCTTTAATCCTCCAACATCATAGTTTTCTCGTCTTCATGTGATACCCCCACTTTAGTCCCACATGGACTAGTGTGAAGAAATGTTAGTGATTTAAATAGAGAAAAACCCAAATTCCAAGGACAACTAGTGCTAGCATTTTGGCAATTGACTTAAGTCAATATCGAGTTGCTCTCGGTGGGTCCTACAGCTTGCACGCGCCAACGAACCCATGAGCCGGGGCTTGACACAATGGTATCAAAGCAGTTGTCAGCCGAAAGTGTGGAGCTAAGTGCTATACGGGGCTAAGTGATATACCACGTGGATGTGGTGGGAGCCACCTCTAGAGCCTGTAGGAGCCACCTCTAGAGTCCACATCACCTGACAGTGATACTGGGATGTGCCAATTGTCATGTTGTGACGACGAGAACGTCATCTTTGTAAGGTGGGAGTGATTGCGACACTACCACTTTAGTCCCACATGAACTAATGTCAAGAAATATTAGTGGTTTAAATAGAGAAAAGCTCAAAGTCCAAGAACAACTAGTGCTAGCATTTCGACGGTTGATTTAAGCTACCATCGAGTTGCTCTTGATGGGTCCAACGACTTGCACACGCCAACGGGCCCATGAGCCTAGGGCTTGGCACTTTGGTAGCTTCTATGATCATCGCTACGGCATTCGCCTTGCGTAGCTTGTCTTTAGCAAACATCAACACGATTTCAAACTCGTCCCGAATTTAGACGCTCTAGCCAATGCAAGTTGGTCCATGAAAGTCTTCATCTGAATTCCAATCTTCAATTCATCAAACTCACTTCGGAACTCAGCAAATTCAATTCGCGTAACACGAGTTTCATCGCTTACCATTGAATCGGAGAAATAGGGCTCTGATACCAATTAGCGCAACACAAAAGTGATTAATAAAGTGATATATTACAATAAGGTTTACAATCCATCTTCTTAAATTGAAAAATAAAACCTACTCGTAATAAGAACAGAGTTCTTAAAAGAAAGAAATTATTTAAAACTATCTAAAAGACTCTGTATAGCAAAGGAAACAAATCAGTCTAAATTGAATCAAAACGGATTTTATTTCATAATCTAAATTGACTACCTTTATTACTAAAAATAAACTCAAAGCTGATTACTTTCAAATTTGAATCAAAACTGGTTGCTGCTGATAGGACTTTGGGAATTTGCCAAGCTAATTAACTCCGTCTAGCTGAGATAGGCGATTTTCATATATAATATATCAGAATTTACCTTCTAAATTAGGAGATATGGTCATTTCTTTGTGTGCATGCTATTAATAATGCGTACATATTTACATTTAGTTCGTGATAGTCCCCCTCCTCCATAAATTTGTTCGTTATGCTTCCTACATCATTGATGTTCGTGGTTTTGTAACTGCTGTAGGTGTTAGAAGTAAACTCTGATATAGCTCATCAGCAATAAAAGAAAAAGAAGGTACGTTTAGAGGGTATTCATGATGCACAACCATACTATATATTCCTCAATCCCATGAATATTCTCCATTAGTCCCATGAACTTTACGTATAATTGGTAGACAACAATTTTATTAGAGCAAATTCACAAAGCCATTACATCTATCAAAAGACAATATATGCCTCATACAAATGCACAAAGAATACATGGAAATCCTAGGTTTCAAAACTGACTAGAGGAAACATCCATTCATGAGCTCTATGCCAAAAAGCCGAACCAAAGGAAAGCAATCTGAAGCAAGAAAAGAAGCTCAACACGATACTCTTGCATTCTCAACCTTCCTGCAGAACTACCGCTCGGTGGTGAGTTGGCAGCAGGCTGAGGCGCTGGTCCATCTGCATGATAGTACATATATAGTGAAGAAAATGCCATTACCAAAAGTTAAGCCTCTCTGGTGTAATCTCAAGTAATAGTAGAATTTCTCAATCACCCAACAGTTCCCTCCCTCCCTCCCTCCCTCCCTCCCTCCCTACACAAGATTTCACTTACTTCATAACCTAAATAATAACTACAGTGAAACTGAGGTTTTTGAATGAGTACTTTCTTAAATAGAAGAATAGATAAGGGGGTTTGGGTATTCTTATAAGAGTACCAGGTGAAAATGTTCAAAAGTTCACACGATCTACTCCTAACAGGAACTATAGCGGTCACATACCTAAGGCCTAAAACGTAGAGTCGATGAAATTTTACAGTACTTCTAGGACAAATTAAAATTTCAGAACATTAAAGTACAAAATTGATGAAATCTTGAAAAATAACTCAAAATAATAGCACAAGTTGAAACACGATTCTTAGTACTTACTGCTGCAGGTTGAATGCTTCACGAGGCCACTGAGAATCTTCAATCCAGTAGAATTAGTGTAGCCCTGATATTCACAGGTCATGGTATCACAACCGTCAGCAGCAGTCGAATTGCCGATGGATAGACCGTTGGAGCACTTTGATACAGGGCACTGGGACTTGCTCAGGCCTGGCGTAGGTTTGCAAGAAAGCCTGTATGTTCATTAGTTAATTAAGGAAGTTAACTATAGGTAATTAGTTAGAGCATTAAAGGGAACTGCTATGTCTCTCCACAATCATTGATGATGTGTTTCCAATGTAACATACATTTATATCATTATAATCTAGTCAATATAACTCGATATAGCTGACGGGTTCAATATGCGCCACATCTAGAACACACCAGCCAAGTTAACAGAGAGACGCACTTGCCATCATTTACAGAATGGGGATGAATGGGAATTGATCTCTCTCTCCACAATCTTGACTGATTTATTGTTGAAATGACATGTATCCATATTACTATAGTTTAGCTCATCATTCATCAACATATTCTGATAATAACTGCAATGTCGTGGATGGTTTAAGAGGTTAGCGATATTGCTTACTGATAATTAGAAGAGCTGCTACAACTGCATTGCATGCAGTTCTCTGCTGTGACAGCGTAGGTGCCGTTGGAGAGGCGCAGGTTTTGGTCCAGGGATGTACTTTTAATCGATGAAGAGCAAGCTGTGCCATCAAATGTTGTTTTAGAATTATTATCAGTCTGAAATCTGAATTGATTAGAACAGCTGTTTAGAATTACTGATGTTCAAATAAAACTATCTGTAAATTAGTCCCTCTACAGTAACAAATTCAAAGCTCTGTTTTGAGTCTAATTTCCGGCTAAAAGAAGTTCAGTGATCGCAAGTAAGCCCCTTATATTGAAGAGAGCATTAGTTTGAAGGATATTAGATATTTTACAAAAATCTTACCCCTCCAAGAGAATATTCTAATTAGAGGGGAAACTGAAGGAGGAGATAATTTGAGTACAAATAACAAATAAACAATTACAATGATTTCAGT